CAGCACCGACCGTGCAAGCTTATCCTAACATATTTGATCTGGAATGACATCCTTGTATCGTGTGCCAACAGCGAATGTGCAAGGGATTCGCATGTAATGTTGCCCTCATCAGCGGGGCAGGAAAGCATCTTTAAGTTACGATTGCGGAGCAATCGTGAACAAAATCAAATCCCGCGCCGCAGCGTGTTTGCCCTACTTAAGGGTTTGGGGGAGTGCGTTTTGGGAAAGTGGAAAGAGTCCCGCGCTGCAGCGTGTGTAGTTCCCTCCTCACAATTTTTACAATGCGTGTTCAAAGCAGCGCCGTGTGCTCAGAAACAGCATCGGCCCGCACTTTTACGTAATCCGCTGAGCGCAGCGAGGCTGATTACGTGTTGCAGTGCTTGCACAGCAGCTCGCAGTTCTCCTGGGTGTGCGGCAGGGCGTTGTTGAGGCGGTTGACCGTGGGCTTGGACTCGTTGTTCGTCTCCAGCACCATGAAGCGCCCACAGCCGCGGCACAGCCCACCGCAAGCACGCAGGCAGCTGAGGATCCAATCGGCCGTCACGTAAGAGGCGGAGTCTGTGGGGCGGCCGGCTGCCCTGTCCTGGGACCTGTAGCCCTCCACCATGGCCGCGGCCATGCTCTTGGGCTGCTCGGGGGGATGGCCCCACTGCTCCGCTCGCTCCACCAAGAGGTACACGTCGTCCAGGCAGCGAGTACGGGTGAGTGCGGTATAGAACCAGTTGGAGCTGGCGAAGGGGTTGCCCGACCACTCGCCGATTAGGAGCTTGCCCTCGAAGGTCTGGCCCTGCGCGCTGTGCACCGTGACGCAGTAGGACGACCGGAAGCACTCCCTGACCCGCTCAGCGCTCAGCGCGTGGGTTTCTTTGGGGGAGCGAGCGGAGCTCGCCGGCGGCTGTACAGCCGCCTTGGACTCGTCCCCCGGTGTGGCAGAGCCACACCCGCGTGCCTCGGCACGCGTACCCCCCAGGTCGCGCAGGGTTATGGTGGTGCATTCGCTGCTCACAACCTCGTACTGGTAGTTGGTGCAGAAGCGGGCCTTGTCGTGCCAGAACGTGGTCCTGCAGACCAGCCGGTCTCCGGGGCGGTAGACAGGCCGGGCTGGGCTGGGCGCGGCTTGAGGGGCGGGGGATATGCCGTCCGCGTGGGAAGGCGCGCCGTGAGAAGCACCGCTTCCAGAAGCGTGGGAGTGGAAGGCCGCGTTCAGCCTGTCTACTGTCCTGTTGTAGTAGGCGACGGCCTTCCCAATTCCCAGCGAGAGGGCCTCTGATAGGGTGACTGTCTTGAAGTACTTGGCCGCAACCTGCTCCACTGGCATGCCCCCCTCCAGCAGGTCGGCCTCCAGGGCAAGCAGGCGTTCCCCGTCGACGGCCCGGGCGCTCTTGCGGATGGTGAGTGTGTTGGGGAAGAGCTGCTTGACGGCCTTGACCAGGGCGGCCTGGCTCACGTTGCTGCCGATGGGCTCCAGCTGGCTGGGGTCGCCCGTGGTGTAGAAGCGCTTCTGGGAGTGGCGCTGCATGTAGCGCTGCAGCAGGACCAGGCTGCGATGGGGCAGCAGCATCACCTCGTCAAACACTATCACGTCGTAGGCCGTTACGTCTTTGGGTGCCAGGCGCAGGCTGTCCTCCGAGTCCATTCCGATCAGCGCGTTAAAGGTGCACGTGTCCACCCCGTGGTCGCAGGCTATGCTGCGCGTCTGGGCGTTCCAAGGGCAGCAGACTAGGACCTTGCCGTGGCGCTTGGCGGCGGTGACGATGGTGTGGGTCTTGGCCCTGCCGGCCCTGCAGAGGGCCAGAGTGCGGTTGGGGAGGTCCTCGGCCACGGACTGGGAGGTCTCGTAGTGGAAGGTGCGTGGGGCTGCAGGGAGGGGCGTCTTTGCGCCGTCCTTCTTGGGCCTCTTGGCCAGCAGGGGTACCAGGTCTGTTAGGAGGAGGGGGGTGTCGTTCAGAGGGTTGCCTGGCAGGTCAGAGGCGGTCTGCAGCACCTTGACCTTGATTTGTCCCAGGCCGGAGCCTATGGTGGGGAGCAGCGCGTGGGCTGGGCCGGGCAGAGCCCGACCCGGGCGCGGAGCGCCCCGCATGCGGGATAGCCAGGCCTCCACGCGGCGGGTGGGGGATATGGCGTAGACGCAGTCGGTGCGGAAGCCCAGGATCTTGAAGCGGGCGTGCAGCATGGCGCACAGCAGGGCGTGCATCTTCTGCCGGGCGAGGGAGAGGACTAGAAGGCGCACGATCCAGAGGCCCTTGATGACTCAGAGGTCCAGTCCCTACTGAAGATGGTGTCTGGCGTCACAGCGCGTCTGGTGGACTGGAGCACATGAAAGCAAGACATTCCCATGCCACAGAACACTACCTACAGATCCCACGACACAGCAAACAGAACCTTTTGCCCGGCAGCACTGCCCCTGCGCACGCTGAAAGTGAAGCGGCGACCGGATGGCGTGGCAACCTAGTGGTCTCCCCCAAACCGGTTGACATCATAGCTCATCCCGTCCGCAGAAACCAGCAGAGTGAACTGGCACGACGCCTTGTTTGACGCCAACACATTGAGAGCCGCTTCAAGCTCGGCATGCAGACTTGCCAGGTACACCGCCCCGTTCTCCTGAGCCGCAGAGTGCAGCCACACCGCAGTGCACTCCCACGTGTTTCGAGCCGCCTCTTGCTCAGCGTTGTACCTCCATGGGAGACGCAAGGGCGGGCTGAGTGACAGGACATCGCACCAGATCTCCCGTGATGTGCTCCGCAGAAAGTCCTTGTAATGAGGAAGCTTGCTGCGAGCTCTGTCCCTCCAGCACAGGCGCAATTCCTGAGGCATGCTTGGGCAAGCGTGGGCGGGTGAGGCGTGGAAAGTGTTACTTGAGTGCTCCATCTTTAAAGCAGATATCTTGCTGTCATTGTCAATGCGATATGCCCTTAAGCGCTATACATAAGCGCAGCCTCAGCAGCTGCACCAGTGACAGCGCGTCTCCCTTGTGCCCCCCCCCGCCAGCAGTCATCCGACCAGTGCAGCGTTACAGCTAGCCAACTCACCCACGTGCTGATGCGAGACCAACTTCACTGTGCGACCAGTGAACGGAGGTCACTTGGATACTCCTCCTTTGCTGAGACGCGCAAGGTCTCAAAGAAGGCCGCAAGGCTGCTGCGGATGCTGCATAGCACGATGAACGCCAGCCGCTTGGGCAACCCGCCATGTTTCCGCGCATTCTGAATGCTCTGCAGGTACTGCTGCTTGGCTTGCCGGTGGCCTGATGAGAAGCCCAGCGCTGAGCAGAACGGCACGCCGAATGACAGGAGCACCATGTTGAGCAGCAACCGGCACATCCTGCCGTTGCCGTCTTCGAAGGGATGGATGCTCACAAACTCGTAGCTCAGCCATGCAGCCAACGCGAAGGGGTCCTCCTCCGAGGAGGCTGCGCGTTCGTTGTACTCCTCCAGCAGAACAGCCAGCGACCTCTCGACGGACGCCGGTGGCGGGAAGAGGTGATAGCCCGCGTTCGCGATGGTGCTACGGTATGAACCAGCGCTGATGGCCAGGCCGTCCTCGCGAACCATGCCGTCCATCAGAATCTTGTGGGCGTCCAGAACGACTTGGGGTGTGAGCTTCTTCTTCTCCACCACGATATGCTGCTTGAGGAAGACGAAGGCAACGGCATGCTGCGTAACGTCTTGCGCGGACTTTTTCCCTCTCTTATTGGAGCTGCTGCTGTTGCTCGGCAGGGACTGCTGCCCTTGGAGGATGGCCCTGACGAGAGATGCAGTGTTTGACTGAGAAAGGCCTTTGCCCTCAATCAGGTTGGAGAAGAAGATGGAGCACAGCACGGACCACTCCGCGTGACTCTGTAGCAGTTCTGCTGCTTTTCCACCGGGCTGTATTTTCTTGATTTCTCTCAGGTACACTTCCACTTGGGTCCAGACAAGCTCTGGATTGTCCTCTTCCCAAGGGCACTCGTAGTAGTTGCTATGCTGGAAGACATACATGGCTGCAACTTAGCTAGACAAGACAAAAAAGTAAAACAGTTTATTCCCACAGTGCAAGTGACCTTAATGCATCCTCAAAGTATGCACAACGAGACAAAAAGTCATTGCTCGAAACCGAAACCAAGGCCGTACATGAGCAATATATTGACCAGGGCCGAATATTGACTGCTTGACTTTAGCAGTGACACTTTTACTGCAATCGTGTTTGATTTGGATGCTTGGGCCGCAACGAAGTTGAAGCTGCGCAGAGAGAGTCCTTACACTCGGCGACCCATGAGCAGCTCATGCCGAGCTGCTTGAAACACCCCTGTGGGAAGAGAGTTTGTGTGCATAAACGCTCATAAAGCCTGTTGTACGCATTAGAATGCAATCTGACCCTAGACTCCCACATCTGGTCAGATGAAATTTTCACTCGCACAGCAGCACTGTCATGCTTTGGCCTCGCGGCAGAACGGAGCCGGGCGTCCCAGCCCCTTCCGCTCCATGATGCGTAGCCGACCGATGGTGCTTGCTGCGTGGGTGTCCCGGTTGTAGTACATGCGCGTTACCCTGAACCATTGGGAATGTAACGTTGCAGCCAGTTGCTGACTCGAACTCCGCCTCTGTAGTTCCAACGACGGCCCCTCTGCGTTGCTTGTCCTTGCTCGCCCGCCTTGCTTGCCAGGCCACGACGAACGGAAGCCTTGGGTCGGATGCTGACAAAGCAGAACCGTGCTTTTGGTCTGTGCCGTGAAGAACCTCCTTCACACAGTCTTGGCCCTCTGCGGCACGGAACTCCTTATACACTGCATGGGTTTTAGACCCCGACTCCCATCGCATCATGGTTGATCTGAACTCGTTGGTAGGGACGACAGCACTCTTGCCAAAGCAGCGTTGGCATGCCTTGAATGTTCCAGTTGTTGGAACGGCTACCTCTCCCTTGCCCGCAGGACTCATTGTGATTCCGCTCTCTCCGTAAGCTACCTCTATCTTTGTTCTCTTCGGTACCAGCTTCTTTGCCTCCTTCAGAACTCGGCTGAAGAAGGAGTCTAGCGCCTTGCGCTTGCCTATGTACCCTTGAAAGCTGGCCATGGCCTCCTGCCTAGACAGCGCCCGCTCCCACCACTCGTTCATGCAGTGCTGTGAGTCCGCTATGTACCGAAGAACCGTGCCTGACTGTGCTGTCCTGAGGGCACACCCCGGAACTGCCAGCGCCTGGAAGGCGGGTTGCAGTGGGGCATCACGCTGTGCCTTCTTGATGGTGGAGGTTCGAATGCCCGACTTATGCTGATACTCCCCGCGTAAGAGGGACCAGCTGTGGCGGTTCAGCTTCTCACCGAGCTTTAGCTTCCCTGTGCTATCGAGGGTGTACTGTGTCACAACAGACACCGTTGCCAGGCTGCAGCGGCCTGGATCCAACCCTAGCGTGAGCACGCCCTCCTCAGGGTCGTACATGTCGAGGTTCTGGTCGTATGCATCTGTCGCAACGTTACTGCTGCGCATGCCTGCCGAGCGCTTGCGCTTTGCGGTCACTGCCTTTGATGGCTTTGAGTACTGGAGGCTGACCGCAACACCGTCCGTTGAGATGCTGCAGTCAAACTTGTACCCATTCTTGACTGGCAGGCACCGGAAGAAGGACTTGACGACCCTGTCCTCTGTCTCTGACAGTGCCCGGTGCCTTGCCTGCTGAGACCTGTACGCGTCGGTGTTTCTGATCCTGCTGCAGGCGCTTTGGTACTGTGCAAGGAGCGCCTTGTCTGTGGTGCCATCGGGAGGCTTCGGGGGCAGCATGTACGTGTCTGGGTGCGCGCTGCCGGGCAGGCCACACTTCTCCAGGAATGCGTCCTGGTTCCAGAATGATTTCATGAGCTTGACGTTGTGATCATTGGGAAAGAGGGAGCAGAAGATGTGGAGAAGGCTTTTCGTGTCGAGGCGGACATGCGAACGCTTGACTGCAAACACAGGCATCAGCCTCATTTTCTTCTGGTGTAGGGACTCAAACTGCTTCTGCATCCAAAAGTTGAACTGCATGGCAGCCTGGAACGTCATCTTCTTCTTGGCGTGGTCGTCCCACAGGTACTTGTTTTCGTGCGCAGAAAGCAGCTCGTCCTGCCGGGCTTGCAGTGCATGCCCGTTCAAGGAGCCGTACATTGTGCTGCCCGCTGCATCCAGCAGCTTTGCCCTGGCATTTTTTATGTATGCCACGACGTAAGCAGGCCATGCAGGTATCGGCTTGCCGCTGCGGATGAGTTGCACGACAGCATGCGCCTTGGACCAAGGTGTCTTCTTGTGGTGGTGCTTCTTGCACATCTGGTGCATGTAGGCCTTTGTCAGGCGGCCTAGCCGTGCGAAGAGCGGGTACCAGACATTGTTTAGAACTACTGTCTTGAATCCGATGCCCGCGTACTGAATGACCTGGTCCAGTCCGTCGGGCTGATTGAAGTCAGAAACTTCTTTCTCTGTCACCTTTGCCTCGTACCCAGTCACCTTTAAGGTCACTTTCTCCTCTTTAGTCGTTTTGTCTCGGGTTACGGTGATTCGTGCTCTGGCTCCAGGCTGGTAGTTCGTCACGCGCTTTACAGATGTAGTATCCTGGGTATTAATCCCGTTTCAATCAATCACGAAACTGACATCCGCCGATTGGTCCTTTTTCAACGATATGACGTGATATAAGAAGTTGGTATCGAAGCTCGATATCCGAGTCCCGACCCGGGTTCGAGTCTCCTTGCGTCCTGCTGTCACTAGTTTCCTGCGGATGCTGACATCTCTCAGATACCCTGAGAATCGGTCGAGGATGCCCTCAACTCTGGAGGGGGGATAATTGTAGTATCCTGGGTAACACGGGATTGACATCCGCCGATCGGTCCTTTTCCAGCGATAAGACGTGATACAACAACAGACTCCTTGGTACGGTTTGGCATCATGTTGGTGACGGTTGTAGTGCAGCGTACGGACCCACTCAGCACGCTCAGCTTCACAGATACGTATGAGGTGTCTTCTGAACATAGGAGGGGTTTGTGGTTCTTGAGTAAGTCCTTCCAGAACGTGTCACCCTGCTTGTAGAGGTCAAGCATCGGCCTCCCAGTTTCGAGGCACAGGGTAGCATAGTGCAGCAGCGTCCCTAGTAGCGTCCCTCTGCGCCCTGCTCACGTACTGCACCAGCTCCTCAACCTGAGCTGAAAACATTCCAAACTCTTCGTCCGTGAGGCTCATAGCCTTCTTCAGGGCGCACTTCACGACTGATAAGGCAACCGCATTGCAGCCATGTGTGGAGGTGCCACCCGGGGGTGCACCCGAAGCAGGTGTGCTGTCCTTGCACGTTGTGGCCGCTTCAGGCACCTTGGGCATTTCTGGCGGGGACACATGCACGGTGCTCTGCGCATCCGCTGCTGCGGGAGCTGTCGCTGACAGGTCGACATCATTTGCTTTTGCGAAATCAATCCAGCCTTGCTTCTTCCACTGCGAGAAACCACGTGGCTTAGGCAGGTGCTCGCACCTAGCCTTGATCTCGGACAACGGTATTGGGCTCATCGCTCATACAACCATGTTGCGTGTTAGCCCTTAAGTGTGTTTGGGTTGCCCCTTGCCCGCGTTGACTCGTCGCGGCAATGTGAATCACGTGCTCAAAACAGCGCCCAATCGTTTCTGATGGTACTTTTCCCAACGCCTCATTCACCTTATCAGCCACGTTCCCTCCACACATGTTGAACTTTCGGAACTGACCCTTTACGCATGCAAATACCAGCTCAACTGGATTCAGTTCGGGGGAATAAGGAGGTACAAAGCAAAATGTTCTTGTAAAACAACTGAGTATTTCTTGAACACCATCAGGCCACATTCCAATGCGTTGCAAATCATGTCTACCTTGAAGCTTGTGTTCTTTCGCCTTGCCCTGTTGGATTTTAACCACTTCCCAACAGGGTCTTTACGCCAGCGCCACACAGAGCTCCTTGACACACCAAGCTCTCGCACCGCTTTTGAAATCCCAAATGTGCTCACAACATCAAGCACCACGAGACGAAAAACAACTGAGTATTTCTTGAACACCATCCTGACACTATCACCGATGGAAATGGCTGCGGGCAAATGTTTCAAGCTAAAAGTGCCTATCACTGTAGCTCAGAACAGATTCGGACACTTTGCCGAACCGCCCTTGCGACCAACCGTAAGCCTTTTTCAGGCTTCCAACACCCATTCATGAGTGGAATATTGTGAGCCAATGTGGCCGTGTTGCGCAAAACTTTTGTGATCAAACTGCGCTCACACTACGGGGTTGAGGGGCGTCAGCCCACTTGCACCTTGGTCCACTGAAGGACATGCCGCACTGAAGCGATCGCCAGGTTTCAAACCCCCAAAGCCATTGGGCATCACAAGAATCCAACCCAACAACAGGCGTAGTTGCTTGTGACTGCATTTCGGTCTTCTGTTTCCACTTTACTCCCTTCCGCCTCATGAATTATAATGGTGCGGTGCCCTTAAGTCTGTAACGGGACTCCTCGCCGCTAGGTGTCCGAATATGAAATGATGAGACTGTAATCATTTCAAAAAAACAAACTCTTTGTCCTCAGCGCAAGTGAACCTTGTGAATGAAACGCACCGCAATGGCAAAGTGTCACGTAGCAGGCTGCAGTGGTTGACGCCACAACAGCCCTAAATTGGTTTCCTTACTTCTTTCCTTCAATGTCATGAAATTGCTCCCAGAAGGTCTCAGAAGGTTTGCCCGTGAATGTTCGAATCCGCCGTACCCACAGGCGTGACGTCGGGCACAGCGACCACTGTCGACAGAACTGTCAGCACACGCTGCTTGATTTCATTACGAAGAATCCCGATGTTCTCGCAAGTCTGTGCTGGGTCCTGCAACGCGTCCATGAGCTGGTCGATGGTGAAAGCGCTGAGGTCGCAATTGAGGGCCATGTCGTTGACAATGACAATGGAAGAAAAAGAGGAGAATTGTACGCAAATGTCTGCAGTGCGATTGTGAAGTGATGGGCACTTTTCCCAAGGATTCCACACATCGCAGTGCGTGTCACGGCGCGCTGCCCAGCGCATGCCCTTGGCCAGGGCTTGCGGCCTGGCAAGCTGAGCCTCACCAGGATCAACCCAAACACGCTCGCAACATTGCCTCGAAGGAGCACAGCTCTTCATGGCTGCATCTCCCCTCCATCGCCCGTTGCATGCGACGCCAGACCTCACAAGCACCTGGCCTCGAATTTGCCGGCGAGCCTCACCTGATTGTCGTTCTTTTCTTCAAGTGCACGGATTCGATGCAAGACAAGTTCCTCATCCGTCATGTGTTACAGAACAAGATGGTCAGACTTAAGCACGGCCATGATGTTGGCAGTCCCATGCGCCGCAAGGACTGCTTTCCCATCAATGTTCGAACAAGATCCCCCCCCATCTCCAAACACTTCCACTCCGCCTCACACATCCTCCTTCGAAAGCCTCCGCATGGGCCCGCACACGAACCGCTCCCCGTACTCCAGGCACCCCCGCACCACCAGCGGCCCACACACGCCCGGACGGCACACCTGCACCACCACCCTCGTCTCCCTGCACCGCGGGCACACCGCGCTCGTCCTGCCCAGCGTCGGATCCCGGTGAAAGTCCCTCGCCAGAACAGCATCCACCGTGTGCATCTCCTCCATGTGCGCCCGGTGCTCCATGGCCTCCTGGACCAACACGGCTGCTGCACGCTTGGCCTCGGAGCTGTAGAGCGGCTGCTCGTGCAACCGCAATCCCAACGCACAGTTGTTTGCGCGCGGCTGCGCGACACAACTGCAATCCCCGCAATCCCAACACACTTTGGCAACCGCAACTCCAGCTCAGAAGCTGGAGTTGCCAGCTTCTGAGCGACCGTCCTGCTTGGCGTCCTCCCCCATCGCCCCGCCGTCTGCAGCCCTGGCACGAAGGCTGCGGCGCAGGTGCGGGTGCTTCCTCGCGCGCGGGGGCTCCTTGGCGGCTCCAGAAGGCCTCTTCATCTTGATGTTGTTGGGCACACCTGCGGTCATGCACGCAACCCGGGCGGATCACGTAAGTAAACAAATTCCGCTTCCCCCCTGCAAGCCAGGGTAGTGGCGTTCAAAAACTTCATGATGATAGCGCACAGCACCTCTCAACTCACCGGAAGGCGTGGCAAACAGTTCCTCCGAGGGCAGAAGGCAGAGGGTCGGGGTCTTGGGCAAGTTTGCTTGGAAAGCACAGATGTTCATGCATCCGCAAAGCGGCCCATTAAGTACCCCTCCCCCCGCATCCAATATTGTAAATAGGGTCTAGTAAACTAGACCCTATTTACAATATAGAGATTGTCTAGTGTAAAATTAAGTACCCCTCCCCCCGCATCCCAGAACATAAGGCCCGTGTGTGCTGACCACAAACGCCGCGTACTGCAGGGTTTAGGGCTGAAAACCCTATCACAGGGCCCTACACATAATGCCACGATTGCTCTGCAATCGTGAACCACATATACCCCCCGTCCCGCTGATAAGAGCCTGCGCAATCGTAACCCTGAGAGCTCACAGCGTGGCAGCGTGGCACGCCCTGAACATGTCTCTCGAGAAACTTACGGCGTGGCGTGGAAGTGTGGCAGCTCTGTGACAGACATCATCTTTGATCCAGAGCGCGCCCCCAGCTTCCGCTGGCCCTCATTTGATTCGCAAATGAAATCAGAAGCGAGAGTGTGACCCACACCCTTGTGCTCGGAAGCTGGGGCAAGGCAAGCACCATGTGCAACCCTGCACACCAAGACATGTTGCCCCTCTGCGTGCTGTGTGGCTGCCAGCGCGGCCGTGCGTTCACAGATTCTGTTTCCGAAAATATTTTGTGGGAGCTGGGAGCGTGCGAGCGCTGCCCAACCAAACATTTGGAATGATGCAATCGAAATTTTGTTGGCGCGGCCAGCGGGCTGACCCGTGGGACGAGCAGCAGGGCAGCACACACGCGTGCACGCTCAGGCTGTCCGATTCAGACACGGATTCCAGCGCGCCCACGCGTTTTATATTTTGTAACAAATGAAGTCAGAAACCTGAGAGCAAGAGGCATGGCCAGCTGCTGCCAGCTCCCAATCATTTTGGATGCTGGGGCCCTTGGGTGGCACTGAAGCACAGGGTCTCGCACCAACCCACGCTGCCAACTTGATGAACCCGCTGCTGCCCTGCGCATGCGTGAAAACTTTCTTAGCCAAAAATTCTTCAGAGCTGTGAGCGTGGCAGCGCTGCCATGCGTTCAGAATTTCTTTCCAAACAAATTCTTCAGAGCTGCCAGCGTGACAGCGTGACAGCGTGACCCACGGGACGCCCCGCCCTGCCACGCTCCGCCCTGCCCAAGTTGCATGCAAGGCCAGCGCTGCCCGGTCCCGTACGCTGCAACGGATTTCAAATTTGTAACAGAAATCATCTCGTTCGACAGCGCGCCCAGCTTCCGCTGGCTCCCCTCCTTACCCGACCAACGTGCCTGCTGGCAAAAACCCATGAAAGGCCAGCCCGCCTACATATCCCTTGTGGATGTGCCCCCCATTACGGCATGGGGAGCGCATCCTATTGAAAAAAGCCAATTTAGGGTTGCATTTAAGGATATAAGCCTCGCATTTGCTTCGCAAATGCAGAAGCTGACAGGAAGCCGGGCAAGGCAAGAACCATGCACGTTTGAGCCAAAAGACATGTTGCCTGGGGCCCCCCCCGCGTGCTCTCTGCAGCACGGCCATGCGTTCACAGATTTCTGTTCCTGAAAATATTTTGTTGTAGCTGGGAGCGCGAGAGCGTTGCCCCACGCAAAACATTTTGAATGTTGCAAGTGAAATTGTTGGCGCGGCGTGCTGGCTGACCCATTTGATCATTCGAGAGCTCGGGCGTGGCAGCGCAGCACGCTCCGTAGAGTTTCTCTCCCAAAGTTTGTAAGAGATGGCAGCATGGCGGCGTGGCAGCGCAGCACGCCCTATACATTTTCTCTCCCAAAGTTTGTGACACAGCTCTCAGAGTGCCAGCATGGTGCACACGCACGCATTTGCTCATTTGCTTCGCAAATGCAGTCCACATGGCAGCACGGCACGCTCTATACTTCTCTGCCCAGCGTGCGCCCAAGCAACTCGTTGCATGCCGCCCATATGATCCCCCATCTTGCCTTGCAAATTCACGAATGTGTTACAAACATTCCTGCGCGGCTGACAAAAAATCAACACGCACGCAGTCCGAGGATTGCGCACTATAAGTGCGCAAATCAATATAAGCCTAGCACGCACATAGGCCTAGCACACGCAGCACCCCTGCGTTTCACACCGCACACATGATTACAACCCAATCGTAGCGCAGCAGCAATCATGGTGAAGGACACCTCAACCCTAAAAGACCAGCTCAGCTCCCTCATCAGCTCCCTAAATGACACAAACAGTCGCCCCAGGCTCAGAAAGTTCCTCATTGACCGCTACATCGCCCCGCCCGGCGTGCGGGAGGCCACCCTCAAGCAGGGCATCGAGAGGCTGCAGGCACTTTTATCCCAGCCCCCGAAGCGCTACTGCATCGAAGACTTCAAGCGGGGCA